TATTAAATAATTTAAATTATTTAATATTTCAGAGTAATTAATTATATTGTACTACTGGGCTTGGAATTTGTGTAGAATATGTATTTATGCAATAAACTGAAAAAAAAACCCCAACCAACAAATGAACCCCAGATGGCTAATATATTGTCTATACATGTACTTTTAGGCGTTTACAGTCTCTGATTAGGAGTATTACCCTTAGAAGAACTAAAACAAGTAAAGTTAAAGGAAAACCCATTTTGGAGTTACCAGAACGTAAAGTACTTATTCAGCATGTTACACTTACAGAGGAAGAGAGACAGATCTATCAGTCTGTGAAGAAGGAGGGCAAAGCTGCTATTAGCAGGTAAGTAGAAGGCTTTCTTAATCCTGAAGACTGGAGTTTGATATCACAAACTTGTGTTTCAGAAGTTTTGATTATGTTAGCTTCTAATAGCCAAGTCTGTCAGTTTGTATGCCATAAGCTAATAATTGCAAATTAGCATAGTGTCGTGTTCAGTTCTGAGAAGTGAAGTAGAGACTATTGCAGAACTATGTATTAGAAGTTCGTTCTTGTGAGAAACAGAAGAGGATACCAGATATGTAAAGAATGGCTTTAAAATTTTTGTCACCATGTGTTAGCATTTCTTCTTGTGGAACGTGCTACTGGTAGCATTTTGTGCCTTGTTTCAGAAGAGGATTTGAGAAGATCTAATCAAACATGAAAGTGAAAATTCAGAACATCATTCTAACAGCTAAACTTGATCACTTGATGTCATCTGTTACTTCAGGCTGTAGCACTTCACGCTAACAATAAACTTGTTCAGATTTTTCAGGGAAGGGACTGTACTAGCTCACTATGCTGACATCCTTGGTGTCCTGCTCAGATTGAGGCAGCTTTGTTGTCATCCTCATCTTTGTATAAATACATCTTCTAGTTTTTCAGCTGGTGAGTGAATTCTTTTGGTTCCTCTGTTTCTAAAAACAGGACTTGCACTTTGTATTCAAGAACAAACAAGTTTGTGTGGTTTTCCAAGCTGTCTAGCTTCAGCCGTCCTCTTTTCAGCTTGGATTACTGAACTTTTTGCTTTGTTACCTTTGTTTTTTTTGTACCATAATATGTTTGCATATGTTTGAGAAGTGGGTATTCAGGCACGTACTCAAATACGAGCAAAAGCAATGAAGTAGAGTAGTTACGAAGGCTAGAACCAGGAGTTAATAAGCTTTGACAACCCATAGAGAAATGACTGAAGAGGACCTCTGCAGAGCCAAATGCAGAAGCCTTGTTAAAAAGCAGTGTATCTGTTGTTGTAATAATTTACAGAAGTGCTTTTACAGCAGATTTTTTTCTTTGCCTCAGGAGAGAAGATGTAGGGGAGCTTTGGGAATGGCTTGTAGATTGGTAGCCATGTCAGCAAAACCATTGCCTCTTCAGCAGAATAGGAAGCTGTTGACTTTGTTACGGCTGTAAGGAAGGGTGAACACAGAGGACTGAAAGGAGAGTGGAATTTTATTTTTGACAAGCTGAAACTGTACAGCTGCATAGTGTTAAAAATTATATGCATTTATTTCAGAAGAAAGTATAATCTGTTTGAAATACTCTAAATCTGAGAATTCTCAAATTTAATGTTTTGAAAAATCCTATTTTGAGGTGCCAATGGTATAGGTGTGATTTTTCAGGAAACAGACCAATGAGAGATAGTCAGAACCTTTTTTAGAAGGTTGTCATTTATCTTCCTGAAAAATACAGGATGGAGAAATGATTGGATAATTGTTCAATAATTATTTAGAAATTAATTAGTAACTAGTCAGTATGACTTGAATTTCTTTACTTAAAAAGTAAAGCAATCTTAACTGTAAGTAGTGTTATCTCTGTACTATTGTTACTACTTGAAAAGCTGCCATATGAAAATTGCTTGTTCCCATTAGGCATTGTGTCACACGTGTACTTATCACTGAGCATGCAGTCAAGGTTGTTTGAATTCTAATTACCATTTTTCCAACTAAGGTTACTCTTAATGTGTTTTGAAATGGTAGGTTGGCATTTTCTGTAGTATTTGGCAGCTTGTGCTTTTTATACGTTGTAGGCTGTATCCTCATTGTGTTTAAACTGTCCTAATTGCATTTTGATCCATGGAACTGTGTTGATGTGTGCCATCTCAGAGTGTTTCCTGTTTGGAAATCTCTGCTTTAAAGTATCTTTCTGTATTTGCAGGTAATAAAACTCCTGAAGAACTGCATGAGACATTAGTGAGTAAAATGAAGTTGATTCTGAGCTCTGGTTCAGATGAAGAATGTGCAGTTTGCTTGGAATCACTGACTCTTCCTGTGATAACACGCTGTGCACATGTGTTTTGTAAGCCATGTATTTTCGAAGTCATCAGAAGTGAACAGGTTGGTTGTTCTATGGTTACAGGTAATTGTAACAGCTATTCAAAACCAATGAACTGGTATCACCAGAAGGCCATCTAGCTATTGTTCTTTTAAATCGTAAATGGTGAACAGCGTAAACCTGGTTATCAGCTGGGTTATAAAAAACTGTTTGCCTGAAGTCAAACTATGGGGAGAGTAGTTGTCAAACTGAAGAGTGTTCATAGAATCACAGAATAGTTTGGGTTGGAAGGAACCTCAAAGCTCACCCAGTTCCAACCCCCCTGCCATTGGCAGGGACACCTTCCACCAGACCAGGTTGCTCAAAGCCCCATCCAACCTGGCCTTGAATGCTTCTGGGGATGGAGCAGCCAAAACTTCTCTGGGGAACCTCTGCCACTGCCTCACCACCCTCACCAGGAAGAATTTCTTCCGCGTATCTACCCTAAATCTTCCCCCTCTCAGTTTAAAGCCATTGCTGCTTGTCCTATCACTACAGGCCCTTGTCAAAAGTCCCTCCCCAGCTTTCTTGTAGGCCCCTTTTAGGTACTGGAAGGCTGCTATAAAGTCCGTCAGTGTTTTCAAAGACCTTCCCCTGGTTCTCACCTTACTTTGTCCCTAGGGTAAAAGTGATGGCATTGCAGCATTGTATACCTCCATATGGCTGGATGCTTCTTCACTGCTTGGATGTGATGTGACGCATGTATATGTTATGCTTAAAAGAGACCAAAGCTGTGTAGTTGAGTAGTTGACTGTTGAGCTGAAATCATGTCTACTCTCCTTATTCCAAGCTGATAACCTTCTACAGTGAAATAGCTGCCTTGCTGGAGGGCCATCTTTATGGCCCTTCTCTGGACTGTCTCTAGAATAAGCTTGTGGATGAGTGTCTTTTGATTGCTTTTTTCGAAAACATAGGATTTGTTTTTCTTGTGTGTTTATAAGCTATACTTTTCCTTCTTGTTTGCCCTTTCCTTTCTAGGGCAATCTGATAGTGTGGTAGTCTCACCAACTGTGTCCAGCGCTGAGGCACTTCCTCTCTGGAATTGTTCTGCCTCCTGCTCAGCCACGGTAGAGCTGCAAGTGCCAGGCTAAACCTAGGTGGTGGTCTTTATAGGAGGCAGCAGGGGACAAATTGGTCCCTGCTTGTGCATAATGAGTCATCCTAACAAGACAAAGGTTGGAAGTGTTGTCTGTCTGGCACGTAGATTGACTTTGTTTCTTTGCCAGGCACATAAGGTTCTGATGCAGATGTCCCAGTTGAGAGTTGCTGAGAATCTTGAGGGAAACTAGTGATGCGAAATTATTCTCTAAGGAAAGAGCACTTGCAGAGGCCTTTTTCCAGTGCAGAGGTGGTTGATGTATCTGCAGCAGAGCCAGTGCCCCTACTCAGCCTTCAGGTGTATTTAGGCATGCAGAGAAATAAATCAGATTATGACGTGATAGAACCTGTATTACTTGACCGTACAGTAAAGTTATTTAATATGCTTTGCCTAGAAAGGACCTTGGAATCTGCAGAACTAGGGCCTTTGTCCAATCCCACATTGTTCCATTGATTGCTTTCATAGTAGTGAAGTCTGAACAGAGGTGGGTATAGAGTCTGCTCTTTTGAAGTTGAACTACGGTGAGTTTATAAAGCAGTGAGTAAGCCTTTCTTAGGTTCAAAATGATTCCTGATTTAAATCAATTCCCAAGGAAGTTTTTGCAGCTTTCATCCAAAATGCTGATGGACATCTAAATTCCAGAGTTCAGGAATTCACTGTTTCCACATCACAGGTATTTGTCCTAGTGCTGCATCTCACTTGGGTGGTTCTGTGCCTGAATGGTTACAATGCAACTCTCTCAAAATAAATAGCTTGGGGAAGTACTTTAGTTACCACCTTAAAAACAAAGCAAACCAACAAACACGTACCCCTCCCCCAAAACAGCTTCGGTTCAAACAGGATTCTTCCAGGCAAGATGCCTGTGGTTTCCATTATTAATACAAATGAGAGCATGTCAGTCAGGAATGGGATGTGAAGCTGCCAGCACAAAACTGCTGAGTGAAAAGTTTGGCCTTTCATTGTATTACAAACTTGGAGATCATTTTATCTTAGTAATGTTAACCAAGAAGTATTTACTGAAATTTGAAAAACTTTTTAGTAGTTAACAGCTTGAGGGTTAACACCACCTTCGTTTCAGCCTTCCATTGAGGCAAGCTTCAGAGTTGTGCAAGTAAGTGAAAGTACCATGTGGAAGTTGCAATAAAGCTATAAAATCTCTACGGTAATCTAATGTCTTTGTGTATTAACTGCATTCTTGTGAAAGCTTGCCAGGTATGCATTAGAACATGCCTTTTTTTTTTCTTCTAGTTGTTGATTGTGAGACACTTTTTGTCACTTTCATATGCTCACTGCAAATCTTCAGTATCTGTGTTGGCATTGTTCACCTATGTTTTGGGTTTTCTGTTGTTTTTAATGACAGTACTAAATTGGAGAAGGGATGCAGAAAGATGAGAGCCTTAAAAAAAAAAAAAATTCTTGAGTGCTGTTAGGATTTTTTTTCCAGAACACTTTTTCAGATTTATTAGAATTCATTTGTTTAGTCTCGTCATGGGAGGATTTTTGGATTGCTGCCAAATCAGGAATGATTCCTTTGTAACTATGTTTTGGAGACATTTCAGATTCGTTTGTGTTAAGATTCTGTCTCTTGAAAGGATATCTTTATTACTGCAATAAATTCATGTATGCAGACTATGACTGCCGGCCTCTTTAATTGACTAGAGGTTTATTCCAGATGAGCAGCCCCCAGTATTCATCGGCTTTGTGAGGTCTGCGTTGCAGCCTGTCTAAAGATGGCTTGGTTCTGTGGCCCGATTGCTATATAAACTGAGTTAGCTGATTTTAAAGGGCTGCTTTGTTAGGCAAAAGTTTTTCATGTCTGTCATTTTTGCTTTGTAAAGTTGTGTATTTGTATAGTGCACGCAGTCTTTTGTTAAATTTTGTGAGTAGTCCTATGGAAGTGCTATTGTATAGATTCTAAACTTTGACTTCTCTAGAGTATGCTTCAGAGAAAAAAGATTTTGGTGTTAAATTATGTCTCATTTCTCATGTCTGTTGGGGGAAAAAGAGAAGATACCCTGTGTCTGGCCCTGACAAAGCATGTTTCATCAGACTGCTATTATTTCTGTGCAGGCTTTGAAGAAAAAGGGTAAAAGGTCGCTCTTTGTTTCTAACTAAGAAAGATCTTGTCTTTGAAAGATGGTTTATTTTTCTGTTGTTTTAAATGGTCTTCTCCCCATAGCCCAAGTATTTGCTTGCTTTTAAATCTTGAGCTGCTTATTTCAAGTATAAGTATACTTAGAAAGAAAACCACTTTTAAGGAAGGCTGAGTGTTTTTTAAAACATGTAGCCTTTGTCACCTTAACGTTCTCACAAATAAAATATTTCGATTATTATGTCAGAAATGACAAAGCAGTGTGTTACAAGAATGAATCCTTGAGGATTTTTTTTTTGTATGAACACCAATACAACAATTTCATAAAGGGTGTTTTGTAAAGGTGGTCTTTAGTACTAACTATAAATAATTTGATTTAATATGTTTCTTGTAATGTTATTTGGGCTTTTTTGTAGCCAAATGCCAAATGCCCTCTCTGTAGGAGTGAGCTTCGAGTACAGCACTTGGTGGAATGTCCCCTAGAACAGGAAATAGACTCCAGTAATGGAAAGAAGTCTGATCAGGAGTGGATATCCAGTTCAAAGGTACATTCCATTGTGTTTTACTTGGCTTTTGTTACGGTTTTGTAGAGCACTCTTGAGAATTTTTGTGTAAATATGCTGAACATACTTTACATATGCATAACGTACCTCAAATTATTATTTAAAAGTCTGCACAGCGTGTCTAGCCAGCACAGGAGAAAATGCATAATAAAATCTCATCACAAATTTTGCAGCAAGGAAACAAGATAGATGTGGTGCTTCAAGACATGGTTTAGTGGGCATGGTGGCATCAGGTATACGGTTGGACTTGATGATCTTTGAGGTCTCTTCCAACCATAATGATTCTATGATTCTAAGACAAAAGGAGCATGAGTTGTAATTTGATGCTGGTCATTGTGCAGTACGTAGATGTAACTTTTGGTAAAAGAGCTGTTGGTTTGCCTTTTTCTGTTTCTGAAGATAGAGTAGCTCTATAACCACTGAAACTATTCAGCTCTTAATTCACTTTTGGAAACGAAAAATTAAATAAATCCTTTATTAAAACTTGTCTAAAGAATATATATTCTGCTCTAAAGGGGAAACTAAATGAGCATCATGTGTTCAATATAACACTTATCAGAGAAACTAGTGAGATACTTTTATTTTAATTTGCAGACCTGATTCTCCAGCTCTGCCACATCATTTTTGCCTCACCTTTATTGTGCATTCGTTACTAGAAATTAAATCTTCCTGCTTGTACTTTGACCTTTTTGCTTTGAGATTGCTTTTCTGAAACATTAAATTTTTAATTTTAATTTGTAATGAAGTTATTGTTCTTTCAGAAGTTGGTTATAAATTTATTCCCTAAAAATCTTTCTGTGGAGACCTAAGAAGTAATTTAGGACATTGTGCTCTAGAATAAATTAAGTTTTGATTGGTTGGTTGGGTTTTTTTTTTTAACCTGGTGCAGTTACTTGCATTCTGTAGTTAGTCGTTCTTTACGTCATCGTAGCTAAACCTTACATGACAAAACTGGCAATGTTGTTCTGCCTCAGATCCAGTTCCCTGCTCCTTTTTTTCTCATGTTGGTCCCAAGAGTGCTTCTGGTGCCTCCTTATCTTCTGTCATACCTAGCCAAGGGTGTTGCATAGCTTATTTGCCTGAATATTCCTGGGAGAAGCCTTTCTTGCTGCTTGAGTATTGCTACAGTAAAGCACTTGCCTTGTGGCTGTCCCTTGCGTAGGTCTTACTGTTCAGAGTTCCAATACACTCTTCCTTTTTTCCATATGCCTTGGAGGTAGGGGACTTGTTGACTCCTGATGGTGGGAAGTATGTCTGGAAAACGGGTTCGTGAATCCTCTTCCCCAAAGCACCATCAATCACCCTGTAGTTTTTGACCATTGAAAGTGCTCAACCCTCAGTTTCCTTTGGAAACTTAAAGAAACCCTACCCACAGAATTTAAGATTAGTTTGTTTAAAAGGCATTACTGAACTGTGTTTTCTCAATTGATGTGAACTTTATCAAAGCACCTGTAGGAGTGGAATCTAACCAAGTCAGAATGCTGCATAAGTCTTCATTTGATTTCAGATAAATGCTCTCATGCATGCTTTGATAGAACTACGGAGGGATAATCCAACTGCTAAATGTCTGGTGGTTTCTCAGTTCACAACTTTCCTGTCACTGATAGAAAATCCCTTGAAGTAAGTACAACTACTGTCATTTTTAATAAACACATGCTTTTATGGTGTTTTAGAAAGATCTCTTAAGGAATGTAGTATCCTTCTGATTTTTAGAACTCCAGAAGAGGAACAAATTACTTAAATACTTTATTTAGTGGAATAAAGCCATGAATCTCGTTCTTGTCGTTTTTTATGTATCACCTGTTAAACGCAGAATTTTAAATATGCATTTCAAAGCAGAGGTCAGGATTTTAATGTATTTGTTTCCTGTTGTCACAGAAAATGGATTGTTAATTGAACATTTTTACTTTCTCTTCAGAGAATCAGGGTTTGCCTTTACTCGTTTGGATGGGTCAATGGCACAGAAGAAAAGAGTAGAAGCAATTCAGTGTTTCCAAAGCAGCCAAGCAGGATCCCCAACTGTATTGCTTTTGTCTCTGAAAGCAGGTGGAGTTGGATTAAATCTGACAGCAGCTTCCCGAGTGTTTTTAATGGATCCTGTGAGTAACGGGATGTTCATAACGATCTGGCTTAATCTAGGTGAAGCTCCTTTGGTGTTTTCCTAACAGGTAGAAGGAAAGCCCCTCTGAGAATGAATGGCACTGATGAGTATCTGTTAAAGGGCAAATAGGGCTTTTCTTCATTGGTTTCCCTGGCATGTTTTTGTTTCAACGCAGTATTTTTGTGCTGTCCCATTTATTTACTATGAATTGAAAGAACGCTAGTAGTACTGTTAGCAAAGTGGTGTGACACTTTACAGTGTAGCATTTGATATCTGTTCCTTCTTTCTTTCTTTTTCTTTCTGATACTTTTGTATGTGGTTTTCTGTTTGTTCTGTCTAATAACTTCAAAAGGCATAAAGTGGAATTTCGGGAACAGTATGTTTTTTTCTGTGTTACAATGCATTGCTTCTCTGCTCTAGTCTCTTTGTTATTTTTGTGAATTTATTTATAAAGACAGACATTAGTCTGAGGTTGCATTTTGTGGTTGTAAGATACTGACAAAGATGGAGATATTCAAGTTTACGAATTTTTTTTTCTAATCATTAAAGCACTCAGGAATGCAAAATTATTTGTAAGGAATAAAAATGTAAATTACATTTATTGATAGCAAAATGGTATTCTTAAGAGAATTGGTTCATGTCTTGTGTCATTGTACAAAATTGAAGTTTTTCTGTTCACTTCTTCCCTTTCCCACTATTTACTCCTCTGCTCTGATGTCCTAGTTTTTTGGCAGTTGGAAACTGAGACAAATTCTGCAGTCTGTGCACTTGAAAACAAAACCAAAGTAAATGAAAATAATAGTGTAGCTTTGGACTTGGGCATCTGGTAACACCAATAGTAACGAAAAAGTACTAGCTTGGACATCAGGTTAGTGATAGTAACACCATGAAGACAAAAGCTATTTATTTAATAAACTAAAGGAATTAAATATGAGTGAGTATGGAGAAGTTGCCTTGGAAAAGGGTTTTTCATGAATTGCAATACATCTTCACAAGTATTGGTTCTGTATGTGTTGCATTGAATAGTTCAGTTGGGAGGGAGCTACAACACCATCTAGTCCAACTGCCTCTTTTTTTTTTTTTTTTTTTTAAATTCTCTGAATAAGAAAACTTGTGGGAAGTCCAAGAGAATTTTCTCTCTCTGTGAAGGTAATTAATGAGGTATAATGCATACGCTGTCCTGCGGCAAGCAGTTGTAAGAAAGAAGTTAAGCATTGTTAACACTGAGTCATCTACAGTATACCTGACAAACCACAGCCAAATATAATTGTAGCCTTTATACACCATTGAACAACTTCTCCTCATCCTGCTGGTAACCATCCTGTGATGGTAACTATCCCAAGTGGCAGTGCTTGACTACTTGTATTTGATGAAGGGGCAGTGGGACCACATGATCCGTTATGATCTCACTTTTGAATGTTCCATGCTGAATGAGATTCGGTCATGCGTTAGCATTCCTTGAAGTGAATTAGCAGCAATAATAGGATTTAAGAAGCAGAAATACCTCGAGCTAATGGAGTAACCAATTTTTGTAGGCAAATTCTGTGGATTTGTTGCATAACTGTAGCTTAGAGTTCTGCATTCTTTCTCTGAGAGGTGTTATACCACAGTGCAAGGGAGGAACTTGCACTTTCTTTCCCCCCTGCCTTTTTTTTGTGTGTTTTTTTTTTTTTTAATTGTTTGTTTAAATACAATCATATCTGCTGCATTCTCACCTCTAGGAAGAAATACGAACCTTTAATGTGAGAGTATCACAAGTATATAGATGTTTTTCTGAGGCTCAAGTTTCTTCATATTTTCCCAGTTAAAATACAGTATCCTTTGTATGAGATATTGCAGAAAGGCATAGAGGCATTGCAACTCAGTTTTCCTTTGTTGGACTGATGAGAGAAGAAGAGTGAAAGTAGTAGTACACTTTGCTCTCCCTTGACTACAGCAAAAATAGAATGGAACATGCTTGTGCATGTTTGGGCTAGGTCTTTCCTCAAGACATCATCTTGCTTGTACAGTCAGATTAGTATTAGAACAGTTTGCCATACATAGCTTGCCAGGAATGTTCATCTTGCAGTGACAGATACATCATTTGTTGCGCTTCTGCTCACTACCTTAGATTGGAGAAACAAGACTTGTTTGGCTTTTATGTTGCAGCTTGATGTCTTAAGTGTGTTTAGGCATCAGATGTTCTTAGAATCCCAAATAAATTTTTTGTGCTAGCCTAGTGCTCTTTTTTCCCCCTTCTATAGAAAGGAGTCATTAAGAGTTCCTAGATGACTTTCAGAATGTGGGTGCCATGGCAAGGTGAGCCCATGGCACAAGACTTGCTTATCATAGAACATTATTACATTTTAGGTAGATTTAAATATCTATTCTGTGAGAACTAGTAGTACTACACCTTTAAATAGAAAAACCATGCTGGAAAAATGCGGAGCACAGACTTGGCATTTCAGAAATCCTTATCTTTAGTGTTATATCCTAAGCATAAGTAGAAGAGCTGCACTATCGTTTTGTGTTCAGCAAGTTTCTTCTTTACTTAACTTGGTGATTATTGCGTATACTAATGGCAGTATACATGGGCTTTCTTAACAGTCAGGGGACTTGGACTGCTGACAAATAACTAACTGCCTGTGTTCAGTTGGTTTAGATTTTGCTATCAGGAAAGAGTACCAAGGCAGTTAGTATATGCAGTGTTTATTTCAAAATTAAAAAGATCATGAGATTGTTTTGATGTCTCCTAGACTCATGACAAACTTGGGTTTTAAAGCATTTACCTGAAGTTCCTGATTGTTATGAATATATAACCAGAAGTTGTCAAAGCTTTCTTTATAGCAGGATACTTAAGGAGTGAGACATTAGGTTGAGAGTAAATAATCTGCAAGCAATATTTGTTCAAGAGGTGATGGTATAATAACTTCTTTGTGATTCCATGTACATCTTACTACGTATTTTCAAGGGAGGTTATTTATTTTGTTCATTGCTACTACTGATAGGCTTGGAATCCCGCTGCAGAAGACCAGTGTTTTGACAGGTGTCACAGGCTGGGTCAGAAGCATGATGTTGTCATTACTAAGGTGAGTTGAGAGATGATCTGTTTTCCGGTTATGAATAAATAAATAATTTTCCAAAAAGCTTTACTGTATTTTTAATAGAATTGTGACATCATATGTCTCACCAGTAAACTTGAATTGTGGTGTGATTTTTGAAGTGTGGGCTTTGGATTGTAAGATTTTATTAAATGTAACCTATTTCCTGTGAAATAATAATTTCAGAAATTAGATGTTCCTGTTGAGCTATTTGGAGTGACTAAGGTGGGGTAGTGTTGCTGTTGCCTAGCCTGGCTATTACAGTTTATTGTCTTGAAGGTATGTAGAATGCTTTTGCTTTTGTTATAGCAGAGCAGCTAGTCTGTCTCATTAATACCCAGTCACAAAAATATTACTTGGGAAATTGAAGACATGTTCTCTTCTAATATAAGTAGCAAAGAAGAGAGAGAGAGATTCTTCCAATAAGTGTTTAAAAAAAAAAAAGGGGAGAAATAATGTAACTGTGCCTTAGGCTACTTAGCTTTTTAACTTTTTTTCCAAAGTACCTAAATTTGTCATCCTAAACTTTTAATTTAAAAAAAAAAAAAACCACAACCTTCGTTTCAGTGGGGCTTTTTTTGTATTTCAGTTCATTGTGAAGGATTCAGTGGAAGAAAATATGCTGAAAATTCAGAGCAAGAAGAGGGAACTTGCAGCAGGAGCCTTTGCTACCAAAAAGCTTTCAGCAAGTGAAGTAAAACAAACCAAAATTAATGAAATTAAGGCTTTAATTGATTTATAGCTTGAAAGTATGGTATTTTGAGTAAATAATATATTTAATATTTTAGTTAATACTGCTCTTCAAGTTACGTGTCTCATGCTAACTTTTAGTTTTGCTGTCTTTGTGGTCAAAACATAAATCCTTCAAATAAATTGTAAAAACTAATTTGCTACTAAATGTTAATTCAGAAACGCACAAACTTATTCTGCACTCCTGAAATCTTTCCAGTGTTCATTTCTTCGAAATGTTGCTTATTATGTACAATGCTTAAGAACATATAAAAATCCCTCAAAACAGAAATGTGTATTCATGTGTTCTAACTTGCAAGAATTTAATCTCTTTTTAGAGGTGAAAAGGTAGAAAAAGGTAAATAATGTGTGCTTTGTCCCTCAGACAAAATCCTTAAGAAATTAACTAGCTTCATGTTTCAATCTCAGTGTTTTCTGATAACCAAACAGATCATCTGGATTGTTTGTTTCAGAATAGGTAGTCAATGATGACTTCATAATGAATTCTTACTTTTGCAGACTTATGTTCAAAGATGGTATTTAATTCAAAATTTTAAATTTTTTTTTTTTACTGTTTCTGAGTAATTCACAGGTGCAGCAGGGTTACTTCCCAGGAGCTAGTAAAAATGAAGTACTTACATTTGTAAAACACTGTAATATTTTACTTTCCTTAAACAGAATTCCACTGATCTTTGTAAAAGTAAAGGTTTTGTGATTTGGATAAAATGCTAGAATCATAGGTTTATATTGATAACACACTTTCTAATAATTTCTGTAGACACTTCGAACAATAAGACTATGCTATATGCAAAGACACTCATTTGTCAGTGAATCAGTTAATTCTTGCCAAATTGTTTAAACAAATTATTTTAATAGCTGCCAGCTTTCTAACAGTTTTCTTGCACTGCTAAGTGCTTTTCCAATCCCATACATATGTCTTCATGGAATGCTGATCTGCATGCGTCTTGATTTATAGAGGAAGAATTTGGTAAACTACTCATGTTCACGTACCGCAAAGTAATAAATAGCACTGAAGAATCTCAATTAATATTACTTGAATGTTCTTATCTGTTCCTTCTGTCTCTTCCCATTTGATTCTTGGTCTTCTGTTACGTGTTTTCTTAACATTATGCTGCCTTCCCTGTAATGCTCAGACTTTGAACTGGAGGCAGGGATCACTATGTTTAGGTCCTGTTTAGATTCTATGTTTAGATTCAGGAAGTGTATTTGGCAGCAGAGAAACAGAATCTGATTTGCTTCTAATGCCTTTCACCTTTTCTTATGCCTTAGAATACCAGCCAGCTGATTATAAGATGAATTGCAAACATAGGAAACAGAAAAGGACTGAGAAATAAAGGGAAGATGTCTGGTATTTGTAGAAACAGTGAGCCAATGGAAGGAGTAAGAAAGGAATTAAAAATATGTAACCTAACAAGCTGATGCAGTTTTTGGGGAGCCAGCATCTTAGCTATGGAGAAAAGTGTGTTTTAAGTCTGTTGGAGAAAGAATTAAAAAGATTTGAATGATGGAAGACAGTGTGAACCCCGGTAACTGGTTGTCACTGGAAAGCTGACAAAAGAGCAAGAAAACAGCTGATTGAATTTTTTTTTTTTTTTGCATAGTTTATGTCAGTTAAACTTTCTTTGGGTTTTTGTGGTTCAGATTCTGATGTTTAGAGATAAGATGGAGAAATAATTCCTGATTCTGAGTGAGAGATTTGGCTTTGTGTCATTCTTTCCATTTTCCAAGTTAAAATTCCCATGAGGAAGCAACCCATTTCAACAGGTAGTCAAGCCACATCGTTACTTGTGTTAAAATATGCTGACATTTTGCAGAGTGGCTGAGTTATCATTATGAAAACAATTACTAGTATCACTTTTCCTCTACTAGATGATGCTTTCCATGTTCCAAAGCCAAATAAAAACTTACTGGAGTTAGTACTAAGCTGTATGGCTAGTTAAGGTCTCTTCCAAGAAAGCCATTAATGTATCTGAGAGAACAGTTAGGTCAAAGCTGAGAGCAGAGATGTCCTGTCTGATTTGATGGAGCTGTTAGTGACTTGAGTGGTTAAAAACCACAATGTTCTGGTTGTTTGGGGTTTCTTCTTGCTTTTCAAGATCTGTAAGTAGTCTTTGCCTATTGGTATTGTCTTTAATTTTAGAGTTCTAACAGTATGTTCTGTTGCATGTTCTAGAAATGAGCTTTTGGAATTACAAACTTAACATTTTTAATTCCAAAAACTGAGTTAGTCTATCATTCTGGGGTTTTTTTACCCCCTATATAAAATAAAGATGTAAATAAATTTAAAAGTTTAGAAGCTTTTTTTTAAGAGTTGCTCTGAGTTGTCACTGTCTAAGGAATACCTTAGATTATACGCTTTTTAAAGACAAATGGAGTTCCAATACTTGAGTCATGACCTAAGCAGGGCTATGATTCTTTTGAATAATGATGTTTTGAGTATAGTGCTTTAATTCAGTTACTGCTTTGAGTACCTACAGTTTACAGCAGAAAAGAGTTTGATGTATCCAGTGATACCATTACAAGGGATAAAAAGGATCTCCATTGTTCTGCGAATGCTGCCTGCAATAATTAAGAAGGAAATAGTTGGCAGATAATGACATAAAGGTCATTTTATTGAAAATAAGCTGCATAGAGTTTGGTATAGATGTCATATCTTTCACTTTCCTGAGGCTGTGGGTAAACACTTGACCATAGTATGAGTCACAGAGGCTAGGACAGAATGGTTTTATAGGTTTTCTTTCTTTACTAACTATATTTGTTAAGCCAAAACATGCAGGTTTTCATCTTATTCAGCATCTCTCCTTATCTTCTTGTATTAATGTAACAAAACTTACATGCTAAACCAAATTTTCAGGTTGTTATAGTCTCATGCTTTTGCACTTTCAGTTCTTTCCAACTAAGCTTAAAAAGAAGTGATGTGCCTACTTGCTAGTACAAATACAGACAAAGGGAGGAAAACCAAGACTGTTTAGCTGTCTTAAAGTGTTTTACCAATTTCCTTAGAGTATTTTGTGAGCATGCAGAACTCCAGTATTTATACTTGTTGGATGAAGTATACTTTTGTCACTACAGATTGTAACTAGCAATCCCTCCTGCTTTCACACAACTTCAAATTTACCTGTTAAAAAAAACCAACACAGCAAAAGAAAAACCCACACAGGAAAGAGCAAGTTACAACTGAGAGTTCAGATGCCATGTACTTTTAAATAGCTACAAGCTACTTCGGTTTGGACCTCATCTTTAGCATTTTTGCTAAATGGTGACCAAGGAATCTTAGAGCAATTAAGTAGCAAAAACAACTTAAAACAAAATAACTCTCATACCCAGATTATGTCTTCTGCTTTACCAGCAAATGTTGAGAGCTTGTTGATTGTTTATTTTATCTCTAGGCTAAAAGTTCAGCACCCTCACTAGCTTCCTGCCAAAATCATCCTTTATTAGGAAATAATGAAATAATATTTTCTTAGTGTTTCTGGACTAGTACAGAGTATAGCTGTCAAAGACAGAAGACACAGTAATTTGGTTCTGTCTAGACTTTTGGCTAAAGGATGAATCTGAAACTTACTACAGAGAACAGCCAATCTCTGTATTCAGCATGCTTTTGTTATTGTGGTATTTTTACTGCTTTTCCATGTGTCTTAGAATACAACGTGTAGCCTGAGTGTGGCAAAAAAGCACTTCCTTCTGCACACACGGAAAAAGTAGTTTTCCTCATCAGGGTAAGTACAGTTACTTAAGCAACTATTTAGTCTTTCTTTGCCAAAACAGTATCACCATTGTGTTTAAAGGCAAGTTCACAGTGTACAGGGCTTACATTAGGGATGATGTTTCTTTAGTCACTGAAAGAAAGATGCCCTCTTCCCAAGCTCCATGTTGCTCATGTGAGTAGCTTCAGCAGGTACTTCCTCCACTGCCCTGTCCTATACTTAGGGCAAGCTAATAAGGGGATTGGCCCTAAACAGCTCCCTGGCAAATGACTATATACTCTGTAAATAACTACAGAACAAAAAGCTGGACATTTGCTAATGATATCTAGGGTAGCATTAGCAAAGCTTAAGGGCTATACCTGTTGAATATTATAGTTAGACTGCTTCAGAGCTCCCTTTTTTTAATTGCTCAAGCGTTTAGGGAAGCCAGAAATGCATGACAACTTTTTATTTTTGTATCAAGTGCAACATTGCAAGTAACAGATAAAACTCAGTTTACTAGTCCCATAGTATACAGAACTGAAAAAATGCATTCTGCCATGCTGTAGGCACTGTGCGTAAGAACCTGGTCAAAACTTCAGTGCAATTGTGACTGGAAGAGCAAAGCAGTGCTATTACTGTTACATCTGTATGTATCCCAGTGTCATTAATACATTTATGGTAAAGCAGAATGGCTACCACTCTAGTGTATGAGCAATCCCATGAATTAGATTTTACATCTAAAACAGCAAGCAAAGGAATCAATACTAATCACCGTAGTGAGGTGAGGTAACAAACCCAGTTTCAAGGAATATGTTGAGCCAATTGATCACAACAGAAGAAAATTTAAGCTGAAAATACCTGGTTTTATCTAGTAGGGAGAACTGGAAATTGGGCAGTAATAGGTGGCCCAAGGAATTCTGCTTCCTAGCTTTTGCTCAGTCTTCATCTGTAGCACTGCAGAGGCCTTCAGCCAAGAAGTTTTTCATCAAGCTACTAGCAAGTGTAACTGACCACCATCTACACCTTTCTAGCTGTTAGTTCTGGAACAAGTCCTTGCATCACCACTGAGACAGGCATTTCTACTGAAGGTAGGTATCAAGTTTCTTCTTGATGTTGTCAAAGGAATCCACTCCCATATAGTCAGCTTGGCCCTGTTCCCACCGTTCCTTGCGTTCTTCTGAAGATACAGTTGGTAATACAGGTGATGGTGCTGATATTGATATGTGGGACACTGCCTCTGTAACCTCTGCCTAAAAGGAAAGGCAGAGTAAAAATATAGAAATACGTTGCATAGCTAAATAAA